GGTGCGTCAACTTCCCGATGTTGCCTTACTTCAAGAAGCTTCTTTTAATCATGACCAAGCCTTGGCCTTTTCTAAATGGATCCATAAGAAAGGCTATTGCTGCTACCACCAACCGGGTGCCCCGACCGCTGGTGGTGTCAGGGATTTTTGCGGTGGGACCCTGGTGTTGGTGAAGCGCCAGCTTCGTCACCGACTTGATTTCCAAGCTGGCAACGATGATGCCCAACTTGTTTCAGTGTATATCTCTGGATGGCTTCTTGGGAGCATTTACGCTCCTCCTCGAGTAGACTCCCCCAATGCCGCTGCGAATTTGTTGACTGAGTGCTTGATTGCCACCCACAACGTTGGTTCTCACAGATGGTGCTTTGGAGGAGACTACAATGAAATCCCCAAAGATTCGCATTTCCTCGATGTTGCTTCCTCTTTGGGAGGCTCCCTGATTAGCTCAGGGCAGCCCACTCGGTGGGAAGGAGAACGAGAAATCGATTTTTTCGTTGGTTCCAATCCTGAATTGTGCTCCGATGTTGAAATTTCTCCACTTGCGTTAAGTGATCACAAGATGCTTTCCTTGTGGGTTAGTGCTCCTAAGTTTTCTCCTCTTTGTGGGAAAATTGTTTTGAGCCCCCAGTTTCAATGTCCTGAATCCATTGGACCTGAACGGTGGAGAGAAGAAGTTTCACGTGCGTGGAACCAAGTCACTCGTCATGCTGCCGCTCGCATGCCATTTGACGACCCTCAAATTCCTCTTCAGAAAAAATGGGACCTTTTACAAGGGATGCTCCAAGAAACGTTTCGTATTGCTTTTCGCAGTGTTCAGCCTGATAAACGTTTTTCTAAAGCTGCTTTAAGTTCAAAAGGAGCTGTCAAACAAGTGATTCCCGTGTCTCAGCCGTGCCATGGTCCGGCTGTGCACCTTGGTCATTAGCCCGGCTCTTTTCTCTTCGGCGATGGCTCATCAAAGAAGGTAGCCAAGCCCTGACTCCGAACCAACAGCTTGAAAAGTAACAGCTCTTGAGAGAGTTGTTCCCCAATGAAGATATTCCTACTGTCTTGATGTGTACAAACATGATTCAAAACTTGCAGAAAGAGCTTCATCGACAAGAGAAAGCGACTAGGAATCAAAATATTTCCCGATGGAAACATGCCATGAAAACCAATGTGTCCGCTCTTTCGAAATGCCCGGCAAGTGGCCAAAGGACATGCTGCTTGGCTGCCAAGGGCGCCATGAAGGGTCTAAAGGCAGCTCAGGGCGCCGGGGAGGGTTTAAGGGCAGCCTACTGCCTAACGTTGCTTTCTGAAACCAGAAGAAAATCTCCAGGAAAGCGCCCGGCAGGTGGCCAAAGAACACGCTGCTGGGCCGCCAAGGGCGCCGGGAAGGGTTTAAGGGCAGCCGAGGGCGCCGGGAGACGTTTAAGGCCAGCCTATAGTGCCTATAACGTTGCTTTCTGAAACCAGAAGAAAATCTCCAGGAAAGCGCCCGGCAGGTGGCCAAAGGACATGCTGCTGGGCCGCCAAAGGCGCCGGGCAGGGTGTAAGGGCAGCCGAGGGTGCCGGGAGACGTTTAAGGCCAGCCTACTGCCTAACGTTGCTTTCTGAAACCAGAAGAAAATCTCCAGGAAAGCGCCCGGCAGGTGGCCAAAGGACATGCTGCTGGGCCGCCAAGGGCGCCGGGCAGGGTTTAAGGGCAGCCGAGGGCGCCGGGAGACGTTTAAGGCCAGCCTACTGCCTAACGTTGCAATCTCCAGGAAAGCGCCCGGCAGGTGGCCAAAGGACATGCTGCCGGGCCGCCAAAGGCGCTGGGCAGGGTGTAAGGGCAGCCGAGGGTGCCGGGAGACGTTCAAGGCCAGCCTATAGTGCCTAACGTTGCTTTCTGAAACCAGAAGAAAATCTCCAGGAAAGCGCCCGGCAGGTGGCCAAAGGACATGCTGCTGGGCCGCCAAGGGTGGCGCAAAGCCAAACTTTTTCTCGGGCGCGCTTTTTCCCCCTGCGATGACTGGGGTCGGCGGATTTTGTTTTCAATTTCAAAGTATAATAATATTGAAAAAAGTAAAAATTTTGAAAATATGGTTTGGAAAACCAAACAAATGAAAAACAAATTGATTTTTGGGCACCAAACAAGTTAAAAAAAAATGGGTGGCACTATAAAACAAAAATGGAACTTTTTGTGGGAAAAAAACAAAAAGTTCAGTCAGTTCTTTTTGAAAAAATCAAAGATGAACTTTTGGAACTTTTGGAACTTTTTGATTTTTTTGATTTTGAATTTTCTTTAATAAGGAAAAGTAAAAAGTCCAAAAAGTTCCAAAAGTTCAAAAAGTTCCAAAAGTTCCATTTTTGTTTATTTCAAAAAAACCGACTGAACTGTTTGATTGTTTTTCTCCAAAAAGTTCCATTTTTTGTTTTTTTGTCACCCAAAAAATATGTTTTTTGATTTTCTTTTGGGAGAAAAATGGGAATCAAATTATTTTATTTGAATTTTTGGGTTTTAAAGAAAATAACTTTTTGAAATACCATCAATGGCAGAAGGATTCAAAAAGGTGCCAGTTATGGCATGGGGTTTTCAAAATCGTTTTTTTTGTGGGTGCCAACCCCAAAAAAAAATGTGCCAGTTATGGCATGGGATTTTCATTTTTTTTGTGGGTGTCAACCAAAAAAACAAGGTGCCAGTTATGGCATGTCCATTTCAAAACCTTATTTTTTTTGGGGGGGTGCCCACCCAAAAAATAGGTGCCAGTTATGGCATTGAAATTTCAAAGCCTTATTATTATTTGGTGGTCTTCCCAAGAATTGGTGCCAGTTATGGCATGGAATCTGCCTTATTTTTATTTGAGGGGCTTCCCAAAAAAAGGTTGCCATTTCTGGCATGGAATCTTCCCCAAAAAATGTGCCAGTTATGGCATGCTTTTGCCCCTTATTTATTTTCATTTGGTGGTTTCCCCAAAAAAAATGTGTGCCAGTTATGGCATGGAAACCTATTCCCTTATATTTATTTAGGGGTGGACCCATTCACCTATTTATGTTTGGGGTTTTACTCACAACAGCCACAACCAAAAACACACCTGCCCACCCACCCCTTTTTTCCAAAAAAACCACAGCTGCTCTTGCTCCAGCAGCTGGAGTAAAAAATGAAGCCTTTGCAGGCCAGGGCTGCCAAGCACAGCAGCAAAAGCACCATGGCCATAGCTAGGAGCTAGAGGTGGCAGGTGCAGCAAAAGTTTGAAGTGTTTTCTGTGGTTGTTTTGTGTAAATTTATTTATGTACTTCAAGTTTGAATTTTATATGCTCTGTGCATTTGTGTTTTTGTTGTGTGTGTTGTTGCATGTGTTTGAGTGAGTGTAGCGTGTGTATGCGTATGTAGTTTTTGCTTTGGTTTTGTGTATGCTGTGTGCTGTTTGTGTGTGTGCATGCTGTGACATGGTCATGCGCATGTGGGTTTGAGCCACTTTGGCTGCAATGTTTTTTTCTTGAACCACACCATGTAGCCCTACCCCCACAGCTTCACAACCCTTTGGCAGCAGCTGCTTTGTCAGCAACCTTTGCATGCACAGCATGGTCTTTGCCATGAGTGAGCCTTTGCAGGCTGGGGGCCTTTGCAGGCTGGGAGCCTTTGCAGGCTGGAAGCCTTTGCGGGCTGGGAGCCTTTGCAGGCTGTCACAAGCTCTTGAGCAAGTTGTTCTTGAAATCCACCATGTGGGCCTTATCCAGGCCTGTTTTTTGTGCCTCATTGAAGCAAGCTTGAAGCACATGGGTTTGGTTCTCCCCTCTAGGGAGGTTCACATTCACCACACACCTTGCTTTTTCTTCAAGCCATTCCTGGCTAAGATGTACCCCTTTTTTCTGAAGCTGCCCATTTTGATCCAACCAAAATTGCAACTGGCAACCCAAGTGTTCTGGGTTGCCATGTGCACAGCCTTTGCAGGCTTGGGAGCCATTGCTGGCTTTTTTGCTGGTGCTGTCTTTGAACTGGCACTTGCAGGCCTTTTCAAAGGCTTGCTAGGCTGTCCCAACTCACATGCATCCAATGGCCCAGAAGAAGCACTGGAAGAAATTTCCTGCAAGCTGATCTGGGAAGCAGTTTCACTTTCAGCCATGCTCTGGCTGCTGTCCACAGCCTCTGCCAACATGATCTTTGGCCGTGAGTTCTCCTCTGCAATAGCCTTTGCAGGCTGGCTGGGTTGGGAAGGTTCCTTCTCAGTTGACTGCCTCACTCACTCACTCACTCACTCACTCACTCACTCACTCACTCACTCCCACTCACTCCCACTCACTCCCACTCACTCCCACTCACTCCCACTCACTCCCTCACTCACTCACTCCCTCACTCCCTCACTCCCTCACTCCCTCACTCCCTCACCCCCTCAGTCCCTCAGTCCCTCATTCCCTCTCTCCCTCACTCCCTCACTCACTCACTCTCACTCACTCTCACTCACTCACTCTCACTCCCTCACTCTGACTCACTCTGACTCACTCTGACTCACTCTGACTCACTCTGACTCACTCTGACTCACTCTGACTCACTCTCACTCACTCACTCACTGACTGACTCACTCACTCACTCACTCACTCTCACTCGCTCGCTCGCTCGCTCACTCACTCGCTCACTCACTCACTCTCAGTAGCCTTCCCAGGCTGAATTTTACCACCCCTTCGAAAGGATAGTGATTGGACTGTGCCTGCCATAGTTTCATCTCTATAGTTCCAAGAATCTTTGGGGTGGTTGCCATCACTGGCAAGATCAAGGATGCGCGCAAACAAATGAAATTTGGGTTTTGAATGCCACAACTTGGGGGTGGTTTATTTTTACCTTATGGTCTTATGGTGTTTAAAGTGGTTCAACCCTCACCCCTGCAGCCCCACTCTCTTCCCAAGCTTTTTTCACATTTTTCATGGTGCTGTTGTCAGGAGCCATCCCTGGCTTTTTGCCATGCCTCAACTTCGGTTCTTCTCTCACCAAAACTGCATGTTTCAACAAAACTGCCTTGGAGCCTTTTCAGGCTTGCTCC